AGGGATTTAGTCCGACCGACTTCAAATTTGTGCTGTGCCTTCTAAAGGCATTGAAGATGAAAAGTTGTGCTATTTGCGAGTTTTCGTCAATGGGTGTCTCTGTGGCGTCGCGTCAAAGATCAAGTCTTCGCCATGACACAGGAAGTTGTTGTAACTTCAGTGTACATGCTCACATCTGAACCAAACTTTACGTGCTTGATAACTCTCCCACCCCGTTATGGAGGACCGATCCTGACGCAGTCAGAAATAAATACAGAAATAAATAAATGCTCAATAAATAAATAAGCTTCCAATTAAATACACACAAAAATAAAGTAAATAAATAAATGTTGGTAGTAATTAAATTATACAAGGAGACATAAATGTATATATTTTACTTAGTGCATTTACTTATTCACCTTTGTTATAATTACCTTATTTATTTATTCTCCGTTATAATCTTCAACTTTATTTATTACTAATTTTTTAAATGTATTTATTTATGTGTGTGTTTTAATATTTTTATCTGTTTTAATCTTCCTTTGTATTTTTCTACCTTATTTATTTTCACCCATGGTATTTATTTCTGCCTGTCCTTTTTAAATTTCTGTATGCATTTCTGCCTCATTATGCAAATGAGGAGGGGCTGTGTCTCAAGGGGTCATCTTCTCTGCTATTGGTGGACCAGTCAGACAGGAGAGCTCCTACTCTGCCTGCAGACATCAACGATCTTGCCCCTCACACAGTCAGATGGCTTCCTTCAGTGCGCTGAGGTGTTTAACAACTCTGAAGACAATACTACCAGCAATGTCTTCCTTCTCTTTTCACGTAGACGCTCCGACAGACAGTGCTTTCAGTTTGCTGCATGCATGGACACAGAACTGCGGTATAGGGAGAAGCACACGGTCAGCTGGCTGCAGCTAAATCTGGAGTGCACTCGTATTCAATTCTGTATGGTAAATTCAGTTTTAACGGAGCAGAGCGAGCTGACAGGCAGAGTTAGAGACTTTTTCTGTCTGTTTCTCTCTTTACAAAGACGCATGTTGCAGTCAGAGTCTTCTCTGAGATGCGAGCACGACATACAACACAATTTGTCAAATTACACAACGGATATACAGTATGAAAATAAGATTGATTGGATTATACTCACAGGAAGTATAAAACCTGTTACATGCGTCTATTAAAAGTAAAGTAACACAAAAATGTCAGGGAAATTACTTTACTTAGATTTCAGGACTGCAGTTGTACATTTGAAATACCTTCCTACCTTTCCGATAGGAAGCCTTCTTGAGGTGGTATAAAACATTTCTTCTTATATTCTGATTTGAGTTGTGGACAACTATGACCACATGAATTAAAAAAATTAAACATTTCACTGCCCAAGTCGGCTATAACACAAGTCTTGATCATCAGACTACATGCTGTACAGTATTTGTGGACAGATTTTGTCCCAGGATTTCTTATGCATTTCTTCTTCTTCGTTGCATGATTTAGAATAATAAGGTGAGAAATGGGTCTATTCTGAGTTCATCCTGCACTGCAGCAGCTAATAAAGTCCATTTAATCCCAAAAACGCTTGTCTTTTAGGCAGGCTGGAGCAGAAAACAACTCACCTTTCTCAAGTTGTACAGTAATGTCACATGTGTATGAAGGTGGATCAAACCAGCTAATCTTAAATGTCAAAGTAGAGAGGAGCCTAGTAGGCCTATTTATTTTCATTCATTACACAATATGAATAAGCTATGCAGACAGTTGTAAAGAAAGAACATCTTTTTCTTCTGTTCTCTACTTGTTATAGTTACACAGTATTAGGGGTGTGGGCTGTATTAAAAGTATCCACTGTTCTCCCATGCTCTAACACACAGTAACGATGAAATGTGTGCTGTTCTCACATTCTTCCTCTGTATGTACACATAAACAACAAGGCAGGGAAATATAAAAGGAATTTATTTTATTGTTTGGGTACATTATTGTTCAGTGTACATGCTCACATCTGAAACAAACTTTACGTGCTTGATAACTCTCCCACCCCGCAGACATCTACACACCAATACCGATTTATATTCATAGCGGCAAGTGCTATGTAGCTCCACATAGGGGACACAGGAAGTGACATATAACACCTTCATGTGGCGTCATAACCGCGTAGGAAATTCACAGCTGCACCAGCAGAGCTCCAGAATATGCAACTCGGCCGGCTCACACGCGGACGCGCTTACAAGTGCGAGGGCCCGCCCAACGCTGCTTGCAGCTTTAATATTTTTTTTTGTTGTCTTCCAGTAAATTGCTGTAATAATCAACTTTACAGCATCTTATGATTTTTGTTAATTTATTTTTATATAGCTTATATTTTTGTTCTGCTTCCATTGTTCTTCTCTTTAAGAATTCTTGCATGCATTTATGATTCCTTTTGATATCCATGGTTTCTCAACATATTTTTGCTTTACTATTTTCTTTACTAGAGGACAATGTTTGTCATATAATCCTGATTTGATTGTCAGAAATTTTTCATAGGCCCTATTGACATCACTCACATAAACTTTTTTCCAGTCTTGTCTTAAAAGATCTTGTTTAAAAGCATTTACAGCATCTTGTGTTTTTTTCCTTTTCATCATAATTGTAGTAATGTCTTCATTCTTCTGCATACAGTTTTGTATAATTGCAAAGACTGGCAAGTGGTCGCTTATGTCAGTTATTATTAGGCCACTTGTAACTGGTCTGTTAATAACGTTTGTAAATATGTTGTCAATTAGTGTGGCACTGTGTGTTGTTATTATCCTCACACTGATTAAAACTGACTGAACAATTAATGACTAACTGATCACAAGTAATTAATTGTTTTAGCAATTATATTATACTCAATAATTCCAAGCCCCTTGGGTGGACAATGAAGCTAGGTGGGGCCCCAGAATAAGTGCATATTAAATTAATGTCCAAATATTAATATTCATAATTTCAGAAACAAAGTGTAGGATAACTACATAATGATCTGTTTTGTTGTGTTTTCATTCAGGATGTGCAGTTTGTCAGTGTAAACTTAAATCTAAGCTGAAGAAGAAGTTCCAGTGTGTGTTTGAGGGATTGCTAAAGCAGGAAACCCAACCCTTCTGAACCAGATCTACACAGAGCTCTACATCACAGAGGGAGGGACTGCAGAGGTCAATGATGAACATGAGGTCAGACAGATTGAAACAGCATCCAGGAAACCAGACAGACCAGAAACCACCATCAGACAAGAAGACATCTTTAAAGCCTCACCTGGAAGAGATGAACCAATCAGAACAGTGATGACAAAGGGAGTGGCTGGCATTGGGAAAACAGTCTTAACACAGAAGTTCACTCTGGACTGGGCTGAAGACAAAGCCAACCAGGACATACAGTTCACATTTCCATTCACTTTCAGAGAGCTGAATGTGCTGAAAGAGAAAAGTACAGCTTGGTGGAACTTGTTCATCACTTCTTTCCTGAAACCAAAGAAGCAGGAATCTGCAGCTTTGAAGAGTTCCAGGTTGTGTTCATCTTTGACGGTCTGGATGAGTGTCGACTTCCTCTGGACTTCCACAACAATGAGGTCCTGACTGATGTTACAGAGTCCACCTCAGTGGATGTGCTGCTGACAAACCTCATCAGGGGGAACCTGCTTCCCTCTGCTCGCCTCTGGATAACCACACGACCTGCAGCAGCCAATCAGATCCCTCCTGAGTGTGTTGACATGGTGACAGAGGTCAGAGGGTTCAGTGACCCACAGAAGGAGGAGTACTTCAGGAAGAGATTCAGTGATGAGAAGCAGGCCGAAAAAATCATCTCCCACATCAAGACATCACGAAGCCTCCACATCATGTGCCACATCCCAGTCTTCTGCTGGATCACTGCTACAGTTCTGGAGGAGGTGTTGAAGACCAGAGAGGGAGGAGACCTGCCCAAGACCCTGACTGAGATGTACATCCACTTCCTGGTGGTTCAGTCAAAATTGAAGAATGTCAGGTATGATGGAGGAGGTAAGACAGATCCACACTGGAGTCCAGAGAGCAGGAAGATGATTGAGTCTCTGGGAAAACTGGCTTTTGAGGAGCTGCAGAAAGGCAACCTGATCTTCTATGAATCAGACCTGACAGAGTGTGGCATCGATATCAGAGCAGCCTCAGTGTACTCAGGAGTGTTCACACAGATCTTTAAAGAGGAGAGTGGGCTGTACCAGGACAAGGTGTTCTGCTTCGTCCATCTGACCGTTCAGGAGTTTCTGGCTGCTCTTCATGTCCATCTGACCTTCATCAACTCCGGTGTCAATCTGCTGGCAGAAGAACAATCAACCTCCTGGTGGTCTGATGTATTCAGAGGCAAATCAACACGTTTCTACCAGAGTGCGGTGGACAAGGCTTTACAGAGTCCAAATGGCCACCTGGACTTGTTCCTCCGCTTCCTCCTGGGACTTTCACTGCAGACCAATCAGACTCTCCTACGAGGCCTGCTGATACAGACAGGAAGTGGCTCAAAAGCCAATCAGTTAGCGGTTGAGTATATCAAGAAGAAGATTGAAGAGACTCCCTCTGCAGACAAAAGGATTAATTTGTTTCACTGTCTGAATGAACTGAATGATAGTTCTCTAGTGGAGCAGATCCAACAGTCCCTGAATTCAGGAAGTCTCTCCACAGATAAACTCTCTCCTGCTCAGTGGTCAGCTCTGGTCTTCATCTTACTGTCATCAGAGAAAGACCTGGATGTGTTTGACCTGAAGAAATACTCTGCTTCAGAGGAGGCTCTTCAGAGGCTGCTGCCAGTGGTCAAAGCCTCCAAGAAAGCTCTGTAAGTAGAATTTATTCATCAATAAATACTTTGCTATCTTTCAACGGGAGAAAAATTAATGTTATTATTTGTTTCCTTCCGGTTGTCATGATTAGTTGCCACATCTCAAACATGTAAAACAGAAGAGATTGTATACAGCATAGTGCATCACCAAAATCTCAAACTCATCATTTTAAAACAAATGTTTTTTGTCTTATTGTTGATTATTTCCTCTCCAGACTAAGTGGCTGTAACCTCTCAGAGAAAAGCTGTAAAGCTCTGTCATCAGTTCTCAGCTCCCAGGTCTCTAGTCTGAGAGATCTGGATGTGAGTAACAACAACCTGCAAGATTCAGGAGTGGGGCTGCTGTCTGCTGGACTGAAGAGTCCACAATGTACTCTGGAAACCTTGAGGTCAGATCAAGTTACTTTTGTCTTAAATTGATTTGTTGTTTCTCTAAATGAGAATGCACTTATATATAGATATTGTATGAGCAAAAGCCCAAACACAATATTTTAAATTTTAACATTATTGTTATTATCATTATTGTTATTGGCTGTTTGTTTAATCCTGATTCATTAATTGACACATTTCAAACTTGTTTAAAGTAAAACAGCAATGATTTTAGCATGTGCGGAGAGGAGAATCTATACAGTGTAGTGTATCACCAAAATCCAAGATTCTAAATTTTAAAACACAAACCACCTTCTTGTTAATTATTTCCTCTCCAGACTGAGTGGCTGTAACCTCTCAGAGAGAAGCTGTAAAACTCTGTCATCAGTTCTCAGCTTCCAGGTCTGTAGTCTGAGAAAGCTGGACCTGAGTAACAACAACCTGCAGGATTCAGGAGTGGGGCTGCTGTCTGCTGGACTGGAGAGTCCACACTGTACACTGGAAACCCTGAGGTCTGGATTCAGTTTTTTATTGTCATTCAAACATGTAAAACATGAAGGAATCAAACTCATTTCCCAGGTCCAGCTGCATACAGAATAAATACCAAGCGCACAGACTAAATAGCAAAAGATAAGCCCTATAAAAAAACATTTAAATTATCTTAACTATAATAAACACATATTTAAAACCATAGTCTCTCACATCAAAGGCATGTGTCTTATCCATTGCGCCATCACCACCACTACATGTGTCAGTTGACATGCAGGACCTTTAACTAAACGTCAACAGTAATTTATAGAGTCAAATAATTACTTTCCATGAAGATATTTCTTGATTATTTTTGTTCATTATTTCGTTGTTGAATTACTAAATGTCACAGATTCTAAAGATTTGTTCTATATTTGTATTTGAACTAAAATGTACCTGAAGAAAAAAACAAAAACATACCGCCTCTTGTTCTCCTGTTCCTGTGTGTGTTGGTTTGTCAGTCCCACATAGCAGGTGTTTTTGGGGGATTTTTGCAACCTCAGATGCCTGATTTTTGCTACAGCTTAAAAAAAAAAAAAAAAAAAAAAAGGAAATTAAATTTGCAATGTTCTTAGGCAATTTTTGGGGATGACTTTATGGGAATAAGTGAAAACTGCAAAGACGTGTCTTTTTTAAACTTTAGAATTATAGTAGAAACCAGAGGTGGGGGACTCAGGTCACATGACTTGACTCGAGCCAGAGTCGAGCTGCAAATGTGAAGACTTGAGACTTGTTTAACTAAAACAGACGAAAGACTCGACTTGACTTTGACTTGGTATTCATGACTTGAGACTTGACTTAGACTTGAGACAGATGACTTGAAAGAGACTTGGAAAATGCAAATGCAAATTAAATATTTGCAACACATTTGCATGTGTTTGTCAGCAAATGATTTCCTTTTTCGACCACAATACATACATTCCGCAACAGCTCCCCCCTTTTGTAAAAAAGGATATAAATACCTGAATACTCTTTTTTTTCATGGTCCCTTGCTGTTATTTTTGTTGGCAAATGTAAGACAGTAACACACGTCTGCTGTTACTTGTAAACAAAGAAGTGAGATTGCTGACGTGTGACAACAACGTTTTGCGGGAAATGGTGATGATCGGTCAAAATTGCAAGTAGGGCTAAATTCATTGGCATTTGTTGATTTTGTTAATAGTTGCAATTGCGCCATCATGGAGTAATTGGTTTGTGTGTTTGCAGGCTGTCAGGCTGTCTGATCACAGAGGCAGGCTGTGCTTCTTTGGCTTCAGCTCTGAGCTCCAACCCCTCCCATCTGAGAGAGCTGGACCTGAGCTACAATCATCCAGGAGACTCGGGAGTGAAGCTGCTGTCTGCTGGACTGGAGGTTCCGTACTGGAGACTGGACACACTCAGGTATTTTAGGTTAATGGTGGATATGAGTGTTATATGAACAGTCACACATTTCTTCTTTTTCCTTTGCTCAGAACAGAAACACTGGTTGAACATAAAATGGAGATTAATTGTAGGAGGTCTCCAAGGAGAAAATCTCTAGGAACAAACATCATAATTGCCTGATGGTAATAACTGATGAAGTTTGGACAGATCTCTGCATGTTAAAAGAACTGTTAGATTTTACCCATGATTGAATCCGTTCTCTGTACAGAGAGAGGTCCAGGACATGTTTAGCCTAGCTTAGCACAAACACTGGAAGCAGAGGGAAACTGCTGGCCCATCATCAAAATCATCAAAAGAGAAAAAACAAAGCTTTCAATAACTCCAAAGCAGTTACATTAGATCGGAGTCATGATGACTTCTCAGATAATCGTTTATTTATTTACAATATTTACACTTATAACGAGCACAGAGAGAAGATAACACCTGATGCACAGTCACATATATGAGGGGAACATGTCTAATAATAAGTGATGAAAGCTACATTGGTTTGTCAAGATGCTGTCAGACTGAATAATCACAGGTGGGTGTCATTTCTGTTGTGCAACCACATTTTGGCCTCATAACTTTCTGAAAACAAATTTTGATGTTTTTCCATTACATAAGAATAATACCATGTTTAACTGTAAAGCAGAAATATTTTAGGCATTGTGCTATCTTGATAATTACGGCTTACAGCTTTAGTAACAGTGCTGTTGTCTTCATGCACCACCAGGTGTGGTTTCTTAATTTACTTTTAGCTCTAACAGGCAATTGAGCATCAGATAGACAGAATTCCAGTGGCAACATCTTGCACACATTTATGCTTCTTTTTCTGCAAGTGCTGTGATGGCCTTTGCGCTTTTTTGAAGTCTGAAACAAGACACCTTGCAGCAGCAACACTGTGACACACAAGGTATTTCTTTAATGCGCTGTTAAAGCACAGTTGAAGTGTATGCCCCACAAAATAGACTCCCTCTTCAGTTCCCAATGATGGCTCCTGTGCCAGTTGATTGGCGAATGGGGGGTGGTGATGGTGCAGTAGATAAGACACATGCCTTTGGTGTGAGAGACCAAGGTTCAATTTCCCACTGCAGCAAATCCAATGTGTCCCTGAGCAAAACACTTAACCTCCAGTTGCATGCAACCTCTGACATAGCAATTGTAAGTTGCTTTGTCAGCTAAGTAAATAAATGTAAATGTATGCAACCATATTTGTTTGAACCAAAAACGTTCTAGACATTTCAACTTCGGTGTGTCGCAACTTCGCATGTGCTTGAGGAGACCACTTCACCTCAATCTAACAGGTTTCAACTGTTTCTGCTGATACCTGAAAACAGATTTATATATATTCTGCTGCTCAGAAGGTGCCTGTTATGATGTTCTGATTGGGCCTCTGGACTCTAACTTGTTTTAACAAGCTAGATAAAAGGTAATGCCCTGGCAGTGGCAAATAGCTTTGGCTTTATTTGATTTGATTACATTAATGTTTAAGAAATATTTCTTGCTACTATATAAAGGGAATACTGCTGATAAAAAGCACCTTATTTGTTTAAAGTGTTTGCAAACCACATTTTCCGCATAACAATGTGTGTGTGTGTGTGTGTGTGTGTGTGTGTGTGTGTGTATTTTTTACACCCACACATCAATCAAGATCTCAGTGGGGCTGTGGAAAACAAGTCTGGAAGCCAACTCAAAGCCAATTGCACAAGTCTCCATCAAGTGTGGCATATAGCAAGGTGATGCACTATCACCGCTGCTGTTCTACATAGGCCTGAAACCCCCTCAGCCAGATACCGGTCCCGAAGTGGAACAACCATCAGTCACCTCCTCTACATGGATGACATCAAGCTGTATGCCAGAAATGAGCGAGCAACGACATTGGAATGTCGTTCGGACTGGACAAGTGTGGTCGCATGGTATCAAAAAGATGGGAGATGATTAGAACCGAGGGGATTGAACTACCAGAAGGCCATATTGCAGATGTTCAGGACAGCTACAAATACCTTGGGGTGTCGCAGGCTAATGGAAACCATGAGGAGGCAGCAAGGAAGTCCGCCACAGCCAAATACCTACAGAGAGTGAGGCAGGTCCTGAAAAGTCAGCTGAATGGGAAAAACAAGATCCGAGCCATCAATACATACACCCTGCCAGTCATCAGATACCCCGCTGGTATAATAAAATGGCCAAAGGAGAAGATAGAGGATACTGACATCAAGACGAGAAAGCTCCTCACAATGCATGGAGGGTTTCACCCCAAATCCAGCACCCTGAGACTGTACACCAAGGGTAGCGAGGGAGGCCGAGGGCTAGTGAGTGTCAAGACCACTGTCCAGGATGAAACGACGAAGATCCAGGTGTTCATCAGGAAGATGGCCCCCAAAGATGAAGGGTGAGCACAAGGAAGATGAAGAACCTTCATGGAGGGACAAGCAGCTGCACGGCATGTATCACAGACAAATAGAAGAAGTGGCTGATATCACGAAATCCTACCAGTGGCTGGAAAAGGCTGTACTGAAGGACAGCACAGAACCACTAATCATGGCGGCACAAGAACAGGCATTCAGTACAAGATCAATAGAGGCTGGGGTCTACCACACCAGGCAGGACCCAGGTACAGACTGTGCAAGGACGCCCCTGAGACAGTACAGCACATAACAGCAGAGTGTAAGATGCTGGCAGGAAGTGCATACATGGAACGCCATAACCAGGTAGCTGTCATAGTGTACAGGAACATCTGCCATGAGTATGGGCTGGAAGTCCAGGAGCTAGAGAAGATGTGGAAAGTAAGAGCAACAGTGGTGCCAGTGGTGAACGGAGCACTGGGGGCCATGACCCCCAAACTGGGAGAGTGGCTACAGCAGATTCCTGGTAAAACATCAGAGGTCACCGGAGTGCAGTCCAGAAGAGTGCAGTCCTAGGAACAACTAAGATACTGCGCAGAACCCTCAAACTCCCAGGCCTCTGGTAGAGGATGACACATACAGTACCACCCCGCAAGGGGTGAGAGGGGGATTTATATATATATATATATATATATATATATATATATATATATATATATATATACATATTCAATTCAATTCAATTTCAATTCAATTTTATTTATATAGCGCCAAATCACAACAACAGTTATCTCACAGCGCTTTTCATAAAAGAGCAGGTCTAGACCGTACTCTGTGATGTTATTTACAGAAGCCCAACAGTTCCCACCAAGAGCAAGCACTAGGCGACAGAGGCAAGGAAAAACTTCCTTTTAAGAGGCAGAAACCTCGAGCAGAACCATGGCTCAGGGTGGGCGGCCATCTGCCTCGACCGGTTGGGGTGAGAGAGAGAGAGAGAGAGAGAGAGATGTAAGGAGAGAGAGAGGGGAGGGAGGCAGCCTACACAATATACACACAGAGGTACACACAGTGACGGTAATGTTGCTATAGACTAAATGAAAAATGGTACAGATATTTATAATAGTGTTAATGGTAACCATCGTAATGTTAATGATTATAATAACAATAATAACAATAAGACTAGCACAATAGTCGTTGCAGCAGAGGGTGTCGAGCAGGAACACGGGGGCAGCAGGTGACCCGCAGCCACAGATCCAGACTCCACAGCTCCAGAGCCAGAAAACCTGCAGGAAGTGATAGGAGAGAGAGGAGAGAGACGAGAAAGCACAAGACTACCAGAAAGGGGAGAAGTTGTGTTAGTAACATGCAATAATGGGATAAGGTTGCATACAGAGGGAGAGAAAGTAGAGGAGAGAGGAGCTCAGTGCATCATGGGAAATCCCCCGGCAGTCTAGGCCTATAGCAGCATAACTAAGGGATGGTTCAGGACTCACCTGAGCCAGCCCTAACTATAAGCTTTATCAAAGAGGAAAGTCTTAAGCCTACTCTTAAATGTGGAGATGGTGTCTGCCTCCTGAACCCAAACTGGAACCTGGTTCCACAGGAGAGGAGCTTGATAGCTGAACGCTCTGGCTCCTAGTCTACTTTTGGAGACTCTAGGAACCACAAGTAACCCTGCATTCTGGGAGCGCAGTGCTCTGGTGGGGTAGTAAGGTACTATGAGCTCTTTAAGATAAGATGGTGCCTGACCATTAAGAGCTTTGTAGGTAAGAAGAATGATTTTAAATTCTATTCTGGATTTTACTGGAAGCCAATGCAAAGAAGCTAAAACAGGAGAAATGTGATCTCTTTTCCTGGTTCCTGTCAGAACACGTGCTGCAGAATTCTGGATCAGCTGAAGAGTCTTAATGGACTTTTTTGAGCAGCCTGATAATAAGGAATTGCAGTAATCCAGCCTAGAAGTAACAAATGCATGGACTAGTTCTGCATCATTTTTAGACAGGATGTTCCTGATTTTCGCAATATTACGTAGGTGAAAAAAGGCGGTCCTTGAAATTTGCTTAATGTGAGACTTAAACGACATGTCCTGATCAAAGATAACTCCAAGATTCCTCACAGTGGTGCTGGAGGCCAAGGCGATGCCATCCAGGGAAACTATATCTTTAGATAATGCGTCACGGAGGTGCTTAGGCCCCAGAGCAATAACTTCAGTTTTATGAGAAAATTACAGGTCATCCAGGTTTTAACATCTTGAAGGCACATTTGAAGTTTAGCTAACTGATGAGTTTCATCTGGCTTGATCGATAGATATAACTGAGTATCATCTGCATAACAATGAAAGCTTATGGAATGTTTCCTGATAATATTGCCTAAAGGAAGCATATATAAAGTGAAGAGGATTGGTCCAAGGACAGATCCTTGAGGAACTCCATGAGTAACTTTGGCGTGCATGGAGGACTCATCGTTAACATGTACAAACTGAAATCGATCTGATAAATAGGACTTAAACCAGCTTAGATAATATTAATATTCCAGTCTCTGCAATAGGATCTGATGGTCAATGGTATCAAATGCAGCACTAAGATCTAATAAAACCAGTACAGAGACAAGTCCTTTGTCTGATGCAATAAGGAGGTC